GGAAACGAATAAAAATTATAAAATGGGAAGAGTGTAATTTTGACAAGGTTTGGTTTCATTTATTATAAATTTAAGATTTACAAGTTTTAATTATGATATTTATGTTAAAAAAATAGTATATTGATTTATATACTTTTAAAACGTGTTTTGCTCCCTGACCTCGTTGGCGACGACACCTTTGGAGGAGTCGGCCCAATGGTTGATCAAAAACATGATTTTTTGGAGAATAATCGTTATGGACAGCTGGATCCAAATCATGGCATGGGTCACAAATAAGATAATGACGATGACGACGACGACGTCCAACCATTTGAAGGCGTCAATCATTTGCAGCGCACATGGTGTGACGAATCGTAAGTGTTCACACAGTAGGCACAAAGTCCCCACAGTGGCGGTGCAAGTGCACGCCGACATTATGATCGCTTCAAGTAATAGAGTGGTATAGTACCAAGATCATTTCCACATGGACTGGACTTACTGAGAATCAGAGAGTTTCATGAACTTCTTGAGCATGTTTCAGTTTGAGAAAAAGTTGAGTTTTGATTGGTGCAAAACTTTAAAATACGAAATAAACTTTTAAAATTAAAAGATGGGTATGGGTGTAAGTTTCCCTTAAGAATATTGTTGGAACAATATGGTCAGAAACTCATGAGACTTCTATAAGAATTCCGATCTCTCGAAAGTGAATTCTTATATATTGTTCCCACAGAGTGCCCACAAAGCGTCCAGTTTTATCAATCTTAAACCTGCCGAATTAGCTAATAGATAAAAAGATATCTGGTTCCACTAGCCTGAAGATTTATACTCAAATCTCTTTGTAGTATAAACTCGACTAATATCTGAACATTAGCTCAAACATGCAGAATCCGTATCTCTACGTGATTATCAAAGACTCTCTCAAATCTTTGTGCATCATCTAAGGCGTATTTCAGATCCGCCCATCTCTAGATCAAGGATCTAATATTAACACTTCAAAGTGATCAGCTTATCTGCGTTGAGCTTAAGTCCCGACTTAAATGACCAAACTTAAGAATTAATAAAAATGGCAACACCCAAGTGCGCCTTCAAATTCTTAAGTTTGACTCACACCCACACCCAAAGGGGTGATTAGTTCATAATAAAATTTTAAAACATAGAGGAATGAGAAGAAGAAAAATGCATAAGAAATACTTGAAATGAAATTTCACTTAAATTGTTGCCCACAGGGGGCATACAATGCACAATAACGAGAATTAAAGACTAAGTACGAAAATAAAATTAAATGTAGAAATTAAACTTGTTCTACTGCCCTAGAACTTCAGTTGAGAGTGAATGCTCCAAGGTTGCTTGGCTGATTTGTTGATGTCTTCCAAACGAGAGAAAAACTTCAATATATAGTGAAAAAGTGAGAACCGGACAAACTCTTCGCCTAAAGGAAGAAAGTCTTCTTGGCTAGAGGGTAAAAACCCCCCGTCACTTCTTGTCTACTTTTCTGGCCTTATCACATTTTTTGAAAGATTGAAAAAGGTAAAGTTACCTAACCTTTAAATTAAGGAAAAGGTAAGGAATACATTTTCATTAAAATAATGGTAGGGTTACTTTAAGATATTTTTTAATTCAACAAGGCCCATTCTTCCAAATAATTCAAAAATTTCAGATCTGACTTCAAAATTAAATCCCTTTAATACCTAGGAGAGCCAGTATTTGAATTTTGTCCAAATCCATCTTGAGAAAAATATGCCGTAGGAAGAATGTGAGCAGAAAGTGGGCATTTTACCAACAACAATGGTTTTTCAGAAAATAATCAAATTCTTGACCTTTCATCACCTCTTAAAATATTTTGGACCAAAAATACATGATAAGAGCAAAATGGGTACAAAGACACAATAAAATGAGAGTATTGAACAACAAATAACTCTCACAAATTGAGAGTTATCAACATACTTTTCATAGTCCACAATATGAGCCACAACAACGCCATTCATCTACGGCATATACTGGCATTTCCCAATGGCGTGTTGAATTTAACTAATTAGGTGTTGGGGTCGATTAAACGTTCACGTCATTTACAGACCTTATGAAAGAAAAATATGGCTTCTCAATGCAAGACTTAATAAATATGAGAACGATGTGCCAAGACCAGTACTTGAGGCTGATCTTTCACCATACAGACCTTGGCAGGGTGATGATGTAAGTATGTTTAAGCTATTTGATGTTTTTACTTTACAAGTAACAATTAAATAAATATTAATATATTGGATTATGCATGCGCAGTTTAAGGCGCAACATTAATTACCGATGGATGCAGTAAATATATTTAAGGTTTTAATGTTTTTACTTTACAAGTTAAGTACTTACATTTTTTAATTTATAAAGGATTGTGCATACATAGTTTATGCCGCAACAGTACTCATCGATGGATGAGGTAAATTTGTTTAAGCTTCTTTCATGTACTTACTTTACAAGTAACAATTAGATAATCATTAAATTTATATTGGATTGTGCATATGCAGTTTATGGCGCAACACTCATCGATGGATGCGGTAAATATGTTTAAGGTTTTAATGTTTTTACTTTACAAGTTTACCTATATTTAAACTTTTTAATTTATATTGGATTGTACGTACGCAGTTTATGCCGCAGCCATACTTTTGTGAGGATACGATAAATATATTAAAGTTTTTTATTGTTTTTATTTACCAAATTAACAATTAAATTAGATAAACTTCTTTAAGAATAATTATAGAATATGTGTTAAAACGTAATTATGATAATTATAAGGTATTATCGGTAAATAAGCATAATTATTTAAAGTTGTAGATAATTAAATAATTAATTACAAATAAATATCAAACCTTATTTAAAGTTATAGGGTGACCATGATACCAGCATATATAAATAAGGTGTCAGGCCAATTCAGTTGAATGAAATTCAATTCTCTGAATTTGGTTAATTAGTCCACATACACATATTTAGATTTAGGGTTTTTTTTGGGCTAGCACCTGTTGGAAAATCTACGCGTGTTCATGTGGGGATCAATTGTAGAGGAAACTGCCGCATCAGATTTTTCATTAAATCCTAAAAGGTACATTCCTAAACACCCTATGGTGTGTTATAATTTAATTAAATGTCTCATTGAATCCGGCTTTGGGTTTTAGATTTAGAAAAGTTTTTTTTTCTCAAAATTATTATACCAAAATATTTTATTTATGTTGCGTTTATGGTTACAAGTTTCTTTTAAAACCCAACAGTGGTATCAGAGCCACTTTAAGCATTTAATTAAAAAAAACGGGAACAATTATTTTATGGCAAATTAATTTGAATTGGACCCTAATTTTAATTGTACTTTAAATACGGATTGGACCTTAATATATGGTTTGCCCGAAAGACCCGTGGTTTGGATCAGTTGTGTTATTTGTAAAATTAAAATGTATTAATTGGAAAGGGTTGTAAGTTTAATTTTAAATTTTCTAGATAGGGACAATTGTAAAGTAGATAAGGATATGTTATTTTTCTATTTATGTAATCATCCGAATATCACGGTCCAAGCACTTGAAATGGAGTCACTGGAATTCACCAAGATGACGAAGCCAGTGGGAGCTTGAAGATGTCCTTAGACTGACCGTAGTTGTTGTGTTGGCTCACAACACTACATCAGGGGCGAATCCATATATTATCATTTCGTGGTTGTTTATTTTGGGTTTGCATTCTTTTTTGCTTGCTATTATTGCTATACTATTTGTAAACGTTTTAAATAAATTCAAAAACGCAAAATAAACTTGAAATCGATAATAAAATATAATATTTTAAATTGATATGATTATCAAAACAAACTGATTTTTGGATAAACTTTTAAAACAAAGATTTTTATAAAATCAAACGTTTTAAAAGCATAGAATGTTTTATAAGATAAAACATTTCACATATGTAAACTGAACGTCACCCATTTAAAGTATTTGTCAAGACTTATTAATTCTGACATGGTCAAAACCTAGCCAATCATGTCGGATGATTATAGTGTAAGACAAAATGCCAAAATAACGAGATTTAAGTGAACAGAGCATTGGTCATTCGCTTAAATAGTCGTATTTTTTACGTCTGATCCCAAGTAAAATCTAAATCAAGAATTTAGGAGTGATCACGATACATTAGTATGGTTAGTTTACTTGAGAGTTTCATAGACAGAGCATTGCATTGGCCATCTATGAGTATTTTCAAGGCGTTGAAGTGAGATTAAACATGTCAATTTCGATATATGATATATCGAATAGAATCTCACGATCACCTAAGAATTATGTTGAACATAATTGAATGATTCCTACCTAAATAATCTATTTCCATAAACAGCGTATTAACCATTTATGGAAATCGATGAAATAAGGATCTTAGCTCAAATAAAAATATTTTCTGAAGGTTTACTGTTTAATTGAGATCTTAAAGTTACTAAAATTGAACTTAAAATTTTGTAGATGTCTGCTCCCGCTTCAAACACAAATACAATCACTAACAACCTATCCCACTACACATTGCGGCCTATCCTTGAAAAGGAAGAAACTGAACAGGACAAACTTTCTCGAATGGTTTCACTTCCTGAGGGTTGTCCTCAGGCATGAAAAAAAGTTCCACGTTCTTGAAGATCCCCCTCCGAACACCGCTGTCAGAAACGAATCAGCTAAAGTTAGGGCTGCTTATGATAAGTACCAAAATGTCTCACTGGAGGTTGGATGTGTCATGCTTGCCTCTATAACTCCCGAGTTATTAAGGGAACACGAATACATGTCAGCCTAGATTATAATGTCATCCCTTAAATCTATGTTTTAGTTACAGGCTCGGTAGGAAAGGTTTGACACAGTCAGAGCATTGCATGCCTGTATGATGACTGAGGGTTCATCAGTCGGTCCCCATGTTTTGAAAATGAAAGGGATATTGACCGATTAACCTGCCTTGGCTTCCCACTAGATAAAGAATTGTCAATCAATATGGTTCTCAATTCCCTACCTAAATCATATGACCAGTTCATAATGAACTACAATATGAATAGTTTGGACAAGTCTCTCATAGAGCTTCAGGACATGCTTAAAACTGCTGAGAGAAGTATAAATTCCATTTCGGAAGTATCCAAACCAAAACAGGTTCTGATGATCAAACCTAAAAGTGTGATAGCCAAAAAGAAAAGGGTGGTTCCCAAGGGTAAAACAAAGGTTGGAAGTTCCAATAAGGATAAGAACAAGGGAAAATTTCCTGAAAACGTAGTCTGCTTCAATTGTAATCAAAAGGGACACTGGAAGAGAATTTGTCCAGCCGTACTGGCAGAGCAAAAGAAGAAGAAGGCTACTGCAGCCGGAACTTCACGTATGTTTATCATTGATTTATAATACAAATTTATGGGTATTGGATACCAGATATGATACATTTGTACCACTTTACAGGGACTAAGAAGTGAAGAGAGATTGAAACCAGGCCAGATGGAACTAAGAATGGGCAATGGAGCTAAGGTAGTTGCAATTACACAAGGACATATGATATGGAACTGCCAAATGCCCTTACACTATCACTTAACAAGTGTTTAGATGTACCTAGCATTACTAGATATATAGTTTATTTTTCTCAATTATAGAAAACTGGATTTATGTTTACTTTCAGTAATAATTCAATTTATGCTTTCCTTGACAACGTTTTGTATTTTGTGGCTAAACCACACAATGGTATTTATGAAATTGATATGCTAAACAACTGTAATTACAAATCAAACAACATTAACAATAAACGAATTAAGTGGGGATTAAATCAGACTTTTTTGTGGCACTGTCATCTTGGACACATAAACAAGAAACACATAGCTAAACTCCAGGCGGACGAAGTATTAGAATTATGTGATGATTTATATGATATATGTGAGTCTTGTTTATTAGGCAAGATAACAAAGGCGCCTTTTAAAGGCAAACCTGATAGGGCTATAGAACTGTTAGGAGTTATTCATACTGATGTATGTGCGCCTTTCAGTTCAGTCACAAGAGATGGTCATCACTAATTCATTATCTTTACTGATGATTTTAGTAGATATAGGTATATTTACCTAATGAAAAACAAATCTGAAAGCTTTGAGATATTTAAAGAATTTCAAAATGAAGTAGAGAACCAACTTGGCAAAAGGATAAAAGTGCTTCGGTCAGATCAAGGTCGCGAATATCTAACCCAAGAGTTTATTGATCATCTTAGAAATCGTGAGATAGTATCCCAACTATCTCCTCCCAGAACACCTCAGCATAACGGTGTGTCCGAAAGAAGAAATAGAACTCTGTTGGACATGGTTCGTTCTATGATGAGTCGTACCACTCTGCCTAAGAGTTTTTGGGGATATGCCCTAGAAACGACTGCCCGAATACTGAATAATGCACCAACCAAAAGGACAAATAAAACCCCATATGAATTATGGACTGGGAAGATCCCAAAGTTATCTTATATGAGAATATGGGGGTTGTGATGCTTATGTTAAACAAGAAGCTTGATCCAAGGTCTGAAAAGGTATTTGTTGCGCAACATGGTAAATTTTTAGAAAATGATTTTTTAAAAAAGAACCACTACGGGGGACATAGTAGAACTTGAAAAAATTCAAGAAAATGAGACTATGGTTGACACTGACCATCAACAAGATGTTGAACCTCAACAGGTTGTTGAAGAAAATAACAAGATAGAAACAATTCGAAGATCATGTAGGAACTGTCAAGAGCCTAAGAAATATGGTTATCTCATTGGCAGTGATGATCCAGTTCATAATGAACCTGTAACCTTCCAGGAAGTCGTATCAGGTTTAGAATCCTATAAATTGCATGATGCCATGTAGGCTGAAATACAATCCATGTCAGACAACTAAGTTTGGAACTTGGTAGATGCACTTGCCAACTACAAAGTTGTCGGGTGTAAATGGGTATTCAAAAAGAAAACGGACATGAATGGAATTGTGCATACCTATAGAGCTAGATTACTAGCAAAAGGTTTCACTCAGACTCAAAGAGCAGATTACGATGAGACTTTTTCTCTAGTAGCTATAATTAAATCCATCAGGATTCTTTTGGTCATAGCTGTGTATCATGATTACAAGATATGACAGATGGATGTTAAAACCGTGTTCCTTAATAGAACTCTAAACGAAGATGTATATATGGTACAACCAGAAGGTTTTAAGCATCCAAAGTATCCTGAAAAGGTATGCAAATTGCAGAGGATCATTTATGGACAAAAACAAGCATCTCATAGTTGGAATCTTTGTTTTGACGAGAAAATCAAAGAATTTGATTTTGTAAAAAACGAAGATGAACCTTGTGTATACAAGAAGGTCAATGGGAGTATAATAGTATTCTTGATCCTATAAGTTGATGACATATTGATTATTGGAAACGACATCCCAACGGTTGAAGAAGTAAAAGTATGGCTAGGGAAGTGTTTTGCGATGAAGGATCTAGGAGAGGCAACATATATCCTTGGAATAAAGATCTATCGAGATAGATCTAAGCGCTTAATTGGATTAAGCCAGAGTACATACATTGACAAGATCTTGAAACACTTCAAGATGGAGGGTTCCAAGAGAGGAAACTTGCCAATGTAACCTGATGCGTATTCCGAACATTAACATATTTGTCCATGAGTTGAACGCCAAATTAGTAGTTAGGTGGATAGACTTTGGTTGTCATAATAAATATGCACAAAGGTTTGTTTTAAACACTAAATCAAACATCAGATTCCACTGATGCAATCAGTTCAACTTCTGCAGTCAACAACATAACAATAGTATGTAACATTGATCTCCAACTGCCAACTATACCAATGAGTTTGTGTTAGTTAACATAACTTTGTTGATTTTGTGTGTTATTCGAATATGTATAATTACATGAAGGGGTTTATTGGATCGATTGATAATCCAAGAAAAGTGATAAATTTAGGGTTTGTTCTAATTGACAAAATGCAAGTTATTGATTTTATTTGAGTGATTGAAGAATTCAACAATTTTCCCAACAATCATATCACTCCCGAATTTTTAAAAATTGGTGGATTTTGTAGTGATTTCCCCCTCAAAACATGATCCAAGAAATTGAAGCACCAAATATTTTAACAAACGCAACCTATGATTTGTGGCAACGGTTCATAATATTTTTGCAATTCAAGGTTGCACAGGTTATTCAAGACATTATATAAATAGTTATACAAAATTAGGTACTGTTAGCAATGTTCAGAGTACTTAAATTTCTACTGATATCTTTAGCAGTATAACAAAACCACCTTGTTTGTTGTCGTTTTATGCATTTAATCATGTACCCATCTGGGGTTTTTAACTTTCGGGGATCTCCTTCCCTATCCTTGATCTCCAATTTGTGGGGAATCCCCGGCCCCATCAGGGCAGATACACCGGGTTCCCCAATTGGGCGAGTCTCATCCCCATGCTTGTATGTGTAGGGGTAAATTATATAAAAACATCTAAAAGTTAGAACTCGTGAAAACTAGTTTGTATGTGTTGTTTAATCAATGAAATAACAAATGTGAATGTCACTATTGTTTTAGAGATGAAATACCAGTGAATGTTTTGTGTGAGAGGAAAACACAAAAAATAGGTTTTTACATGAAACACATATACTAACATAATATGTGAAACAATATGAATTATAACTTAACATCAAACTCATCGGATGGTTTTCGTTGATTTTCACAGGTTTGTTTTTCACATATGTTATTTCATCTATGAAATTGGTTTTCACAATTTCCAACTTTTAGACATTTTCTATGTGATCTGCAGTCTATAATGTATTTGAGTCGATTCAAATAAGATGACAACATATCTTGGGAACCATAAAAAGGTTACAAACACGTAAAAACCAATATTAATTTATTGTTTTAGATGATTTTTTTATCCAAGGCTAGAATTTGAGCTATTATTTGACATATGTTTGTTTCGTAAATTATTATTTTCATATTTATTTGTTTCACTATGGAAAACTTGTTAACATGTATTTTCAGTTTCACATATTGTGAACGAAAAAAAAGTTTCATAATGAACATAAAAATTATGTGAAATAATAACTTAAGTTATAGCATTTGATGAAAAAATATCATATAAAAATATTTTAGGACCGATTTTCACGGGTTTGTAACCTTATAGTAGTTCTCATTTGACTGCCAATACACACACACACACACATATATAGGGAAGTTCCGTTAGAAACCTAAAATCTATTAGGAACTCGGGAAATACCCACAGTGCATCATATGTCCCTCTTCGGAATGAATATTCATCATCAATAACACATTCAACGTGAATATGAAAGTGTTATTTATCATGAATCACATATCCATGATGAATATTGATGTGTTATTTGTCATGAATCAAACATTTATGATGAATATGTTACATCATTTATAGTGAATAACACACCCATATTCCTGATGAATATGCCATATGTCATGTAATCGGTTCCCGGGTTCCTAATCAATTTAGGTTTCTAATAGAATATGCCTATATATATGGACATAATCAAATGAGAACCCCACGACCACAAGAACTTTTATCCTAACATGTTTCACATGACTTTTTTTCATCTAAGGCTACAATTGAAGATATTGATTAACATATATTTGTTTTATTATTTGTTTGTTTCATATGTATTTGGTTCATAATGTGAAACTTTTTATTTGTATTTTTTGTTTCACAAACACATAAAAACGTGCATATAATGGAACAAATATATTAATCAATACCCTAAAAATAATGTGAAATAGCACATGATGTACTGTTCTCAAGGTTCTCACAAATTTGAGGGTTCTTTAATGATAAGTATCCTTTCTCTCTCTCTCTCTATATATATATAGAGAGAGACGAAGGAACGTGTTAAGATGGAAAAACATAAGAAGGGATTTGGACCCTTGAACACTTTTAATCTCAGTCCCATCCATGAATTGCGCTTCTCATTGGAATTGATTTGGTTCATCTCATTAGTGTTGATCTTCAATATATTGCTCCAATGGTGGATATCATTTCTTACCCTTCTCATCAGAACCCGACCTTATATATATATATATATATATATCAACCAATGAAAATTCATCTTTTATATAGGTTCATATCCATCTTATAATTTAATGATAAGGGTAAATATGTAATTTTAGTTTCTATGTAACTCCCATATCATTAATTGGAAGTTACAAAATAAAAAAATCTCATAATTGTTGTTAATTTACTATTGATCTTGTTTTTCTATAATATTGATTTATTTATCTATAATGTTATTGAATTTGTGATTGTTAAAGGAGACTCGATAGTAAAGTTTTCGATATCATTCAAGCTAATATGGATAAACCCATTG